CGTTTTCTAAAGTGCGCATAGAAATAGTGGTACGTGTATTGAAAGGCCCATCGAATTCAGCCACCGAAGCCTATCCACGGTCTATGTTTGCTCATCTCCATAGTCCGCCCAAGAAAAGCATTCAAATGTTGTTTAGTGTGAGCTATATAAAGTGTTTGCTGCCTTTGGATTGCTTGCTGAAAACCCCGAATAAAACACCTCCGTAAACTCAGAAACGTTATTATCAAAGATCCTGACCGTTCGATGAGAATATGTGTGGAGAGATACTTTTAAGCAAACATTGGCTTATGGGCTTGGAAGTAAAACTTACCGAAAACTAAAATTATTTCGCTATACACTCTCTGAAGGTCTTCCCTTCCCACTCGCTTAACCTGCAAGGGACCAAAAATAAGATGGTCCTGGCGCTGATGCTTCATTTGACGTGGATGTTATTTCACTGATACTTTTGTGTTTCCCTTTAGCATATGCTTTTGATATATGGGGAGTTTCATAAGCTTCGACTTTACGGATACTAGGTACAATTGCTTAAATTTGTAGCCAAAGTTGCAACTATTTGTAAGGAATAATGCTTACGACTGACCACCACCAGTGAGCATACGTGGATGCAGCTGGCTTCTTTCCAAGTGTGCTGCCTTCGCGACTCTTTTTTTCCAGAATTCTGTTTTTGTTCTTAAATTGGGGTGGTAATTTCCCTGCTTAATGGGTGAACATCGAAACTACAATCCTTGGAGGTGGAAACTGTGTTTGTCAATGGATGGATCACCCTAGCTCACCTCCTCAACCGCTTGAATAGCTGCTAAGAGGGTCTTTTCAAAACTGGAAACTTTATATCTGGTAACCGTTTCCTGTTGGACAGAATCAAGCCACGGATACCCCTGCCTTGAGGCAGCTGCTGAAACTTTTGCTGATACACACAGCTTGCATAAGTTAACCTAGCGATTGGACCTTGCCTCCTATCACGATTTCTCAGTTTGTGGGGGGTCGTCATATAAAAATGCCTGTGCCGACAATAATTTTAAATGTTGAAATTCCTTACCACTATCCCCATCCACCACATTGCTATTTTCTAGCTGTTAGGTGATATGTTAGGCCACATTTGGATCATTTCATGAGCACATTTCCTTTTTGACGTTTCGTTTCCAAAACTCGAAAGGACTCCCTTGTACCACTTCTTGAATGCTTAGAGTCTGCTACGGTATGGATATTTCGTTGTCTAATTTTTCAAATGAATTCTGCCAAGATCTTTGGGTTGCACGTGGTTCTTTTCATAGAGAAAATGTTGTGGCCCTTTCAAAAAGCGAGCACGTTTTTCGTATTATGGGTAGACGAAAGTACAAAATAAAACTTTATAAAAATGGCAGTAGATTTGTTATTCGTTAAATTGGGAGCAAACAGCCGTCTCTGTATTTTATTAAAGAAATCTGCAATTTTAACGGAATACAGTCTGCGTGGTATTATGTCGCCTAGCCTGAGGTTCCCGTTGTGTACTGCGATAGTATTGTATTCCCTGCTTTCGGACATTAGGTTCCAATAGTGAAAATTTCCCGGCAACAGTAGCATATGTAGCCCCACTCATTAATCCCTACAACCTGCATGTTTTCCTACGAAAACGGTATTTGCCTACTCATTAATCCCTACAACCTGCATGTTTTCCTACGAAAACGGTGTTTATCGAGTTTTCTGGGA